AGCTATTAGTTGGAACTGTCTGAGAGTAGATGTGGTCTACTTGCCATTGAACAGATTAGATAAGATTCCTTCCAAAATCTACCAAAAAGTGATTGTAAACGTAATCGGAAGGACTCAGGTTTTTGCGGTTTCCGGGGCGGTCATTTGTGTGGTATCGATTTTCATACTAAGTTTTAATAAAATGTTGATAATAAATATGGATGTATTTCATTTCATTTCAAAGGTATCGAAGAAACAAATCTGTCAGGTCCAATAGGCCAATCCAAGAATGGGGCTTGAACGAAAAAGATTCTTCCAAACTGTTATTCTCATCCAGTCCAACTCATCTTAATTTTCAACGATTGGGTGACCTATGTTATTACCAAGCTACGCCAATAGATTAAACTTTAACCCAACAATTCTCCATCATTAGCTCCTAATTTACACCAGATATTATCTAGCTACGTGTAACTATCTAATCATAATTCCAACCTGCAAAATGTATAAATTAACTGTCTCGGTGGCATATTCCACCTTTAGTTATCCTCCATCACGTTAGGATGATCGCCCCTTTTTATAGTGGAAACAAAGCCACATAAACGCTTAGCAAATAAGAGGTATACACGGTATAAACATGAACATTATTTATAAGGTGATCTAGTTGTACCTTGTTAGATACTGAACACATGCAAACTATTACTTAATTTAGATGGTTTTCCTCTGATAACGGGAACTTTCCTATTGTTTCCATGAACTTTAATTAGTGACAAATTATATTACAGTTCTGCTGAAATACTATCCAGTTGATAATTATTGATAGCATTTCTGTTGTTTCCGATCATACTTTTTTTATCGGGTGAGCTGATAGGCTTCTCTACAACCACAATTTTTCATCGGATTAGCTAGAAGGGTTGTACTTTTGAGTGGATATGCTTAAGAATAAATGATGTATTTATTTTCCACACATTTTATACAATAAAATTATAGCAATAGCACTGATTATTCAAAGTACCAAGCAATAAAGGAAAATGAAGCTTACAGCAAATACGCAATGTATTGACAAGCAATAGACAAAGCAAGAAGTCATTCTGAGATTATAATATTCTTTGATGATCTTCATGAAGTCAAGTTTGTATACGAATATAAGTCAAATAAGTTGACTCTGTGCTTCCCACGCAACGCTGCCATCACTTCGTAAAGGATTATGTTAGCCCTTCTAAGAAAAAAGTTAGCAAACAATTAAATGACCTTCCTTCTTCTAAGTTTTAAGGATAAATAGAGATTTACCCTAGCCCAATTTGTAAGTTCCTAGCCTCAATCTTTAAGCCCCACTGAAAGTTTTTCGAAAATGATCCGAATCGTCTGAAGAGTCCAAAAACGAATTTGAGCGGATTATTTTTTCTTTCATTTTTGGCCTATTTCGTCCCCACCACTGGAACGATTTTCAAAAACTACAAAGCTTTTGCGGCCGCAGGATTGTGTGAAATATTTCATCGAAATCCGAGCGGCACTTCTCAAGTTATAGGCGGTTATAAGATTAGCGGACATACCGACAGACAGACAGATCAACGGAAAAGAGTGACATGGTTTTTGGTGACTTACATGCCATATAACATTCAAAAAACATACTAAATCACTTTTGAAAATTTTCGCGATTACAATACTTCCCCGCTGGTAGGCGTGCGAGTTAAAAACGAGCATTTACTGCCAAGGATTTATTAGACAGAATTGTAAGTACGGGTAAAGCTTATTAATCTTCATAAGTATTGTTCAAGTAACATCCAAGATTCCAATATTTCTCGTCAGACTATCGCGTTCTTCCAAGAGCAGAAGGATTGCTGGTTAAGTTACTCATTTACATTTAGCAGTTATTTTGATTTTAAAAAAATATGAATTAACGATTTTTGATAGATATGATAAGTCGTATGTAGCTATTTCTATATTTAGGATAAGTTTTAGTAGTTCCAACAACATTAAAGCGGCTCTTTTTTAACTGTTTGTCCTATATTTTCGAAATAAGGTGGCTTTCCAAGATGATCAAACACAACATTTTCTTACATTATTCAAAAGAACCTCTTGGACTTTTACGTCATCTTTAGCACGTTTCCAATTTCCTATCCGTTCACGTGTTAAAATACAATAATTATGATGTTTTTGGAGCTTACATAACAACTGTTGATATACATATATATTTACACAAGATAAATATTTTGAGTGCTTGATAAATTTGTACAGCCATGATTGAAACGCTGATGAAAAAAGCGTAAACCCAGCTGCTAGGTATCTCATTCCGTCATATAACAAATTCTACTTTACTTTTGGTTGCTGGAATAATAATTATTATCGTCAAATCTTTTTCTGTATTCAAGGATTCAGTCTGGAGTTACATATGAGTGCTTACTTCAAAAAAACGGTATTTGTTTTATTTTGGATCCTATGACCAACAAGTTTAGTAGTATCAAGTAGTATTTCATTGTAATGACCTTTCTCGCGGCTACTCATATGACCAAATGGTTAATGTTCAAGGTATTCGAGTTAGGGTAGTATTGAAGCTTCAGCGGTTTTTGACAGAGACAACATCAGAAAGACGTAACTCTTGCATTGCGTAATATAGCAGTTATATTTATTCTAAAACATCATCAAAGAATTCGCGTTAAACTAAAAGAATGGTAGTACAGTACGCCAATGATAGAAATATATTTAGTTATCCAGTAAACTATTGTCCAACGTTGTGAAATAATTTATCTTGAATCCCTTAACCACGGCAGATTTATCTGCCAACCTTTCTCAAGATTAATTTCCAGCAACACTTCACTTCTTGTAAAATGTTGTTATACTGTAAAGGGACCATATATATTTGTGCGAAACAGGATACAATGAATTTCTTGTCTGACATTAAGGCGATACTCACATATTACGAGAACCAGACCCTTCCAGAGCTCTGTTTGCCTGCTACCTCCTTGCTTATTTCATCCACTTGGATATAGGAGCATCCAGCACGGCACGGGTATTACGTATCTTTAATAGTGACATTTCGTCGGTTTTTTTTTTTGACATTTAGTAGGTTTTTTGACTACTATTCGTAATTCGTAATTCTGGGCGGTCCGTAGGATGTTTTCCCATTAGTCACTGTCTAATATACGTTAGTCGAATCTGTTAGTCCTGGTTGAGCAGAAACCAGACAATGTCAAGGAAAACTAGAAAGGGAAAGAGAAGAAAAAAGGAGAAGTGCAAAGAAAAACAGAAGTGTTTAGTTTAAGAGGAAACTGCTAGGCTTTTTGTCTTGGTACACTAATTAATTTTGAGGTGAGGTTTTTTGATATTTCGTAGGTTTTTCTTAGTACAAGTTGTTATACACTTGTGAACTCGATTTGTAGTTATACCTAAACGTCATGAGGCTTCAGTTATCAATATTTGGCTCTGATTCCATGTAAAATTTGCTCCAGAAATGGCATTACTGGAGGTCTACGCTGTAGGTTTTATACAATAGCTAGAAGGAAACGGCAATGCATAAGTGCATAGTGAGGTTTTGTGTGCTGATAGTATGTGTTGATGATAATTCCATTGGACTCTTGTCTCCAATACACTTACCTGAGATTCAAAGCTAGAAATTAGTTCTGATCCATTCTGGAAATTACATATGCAAATTTGCTGAGTTTCAAAAATGAGAGAGATAAGAAAGAATTACATTCACTGTACACTGTCCCGTAATCCTTCTCAAATTTTTTGAAAACATAAAACAATTGTAATAATAATAATAACTTTGAACATAACCTGCCTCCAGATAGGACAACATATAAATAACCGGTCGGGCATAGCTAACGGATATACTTCATTATCAGCATATTCAGTAATGACTTTCTCACATAGCAAATATCACTGATTTTATACCCCAGCAGACCAATACACATAATCATCCAGATTCGATCTTGCTATTCAACCAACTTTCTTCTGAGAGATGAAAAATACAGACTACTCGGCTTCACAAAACATATGCAACCAACAATGTGTGTAGTTGAGGCATTCCTCTATAGATGGACGCTCACAACGATCCTAATGAGCAAACGTGTAATGACTGTTTGCACCCTAAAAACTACCCAGTCTTCAAGATGACATTCTATATTTTTTTGACGTTTTATAGGTTTTTTACATAATACCCGTGCGGCACGGGTATTACGTATCTTGAAAAGTGACATTTTGTTTTTTCCTACATTTCATACGTTTTTTGTGACAACTTAGTTTTTTCTGCAAGATGTTAACTTAGCACAAGCTGTTGTACACTTGTTGTGAACTCGTTTTGTAGATGCACGTGTGGCTTAAACGTCAGCGAACAGCGATCATAGTGAGCAAATGTGCATACTAATAACTACCTAGTCTGCAAGATGTCATTTCGTCGGCTTTCTTGACGTCTTTTAGGTTTTTTATCTAATACCCCTGCCGGTTTTTTAGCCTTCTTAGAAGTCAATATCTATTCTATAATGGTGACCTAGCTATTTTTAGTTACCATGGAAACTAAAATGAATGTATCTCGTCTTGTCGTATTTTCGATATTGAGGCTGTTGATGAGGAAAAAATAACCCAATTATGGATTTTTCTCACATTTTGTTCTAATGTTAATATATAATGCAGTCAAATGTGTAAATATACTAAATTGACCCTATAGTATACCAATTTTGCCGAATTTTATGTTTGCGGCATTTACGAAATCCCCAGATGCTGTTTTCAATATTATGGTGAATGAGCATGAGATATACAAATTACGACATTTGTAACCTATTATATTCATAATATAGTAGAAAAAACATTTGTAACGAAACGGATGATGACGGGTGATCACCCCTAAACTTTTTTGTGCCCGTAATCAATAATTGAAACATTATTGAAAATTTTAATGGAATTATTTATAAATTAGTTGAAGGTGCGCAATCTTTCCCTCAAATTATAATATTGTTGCAATATGAATAACTGGTCTTTTCGATGTATGACATCCTTATTTCCATCAGACAACATTTTATTTGCAGCAAGTGGCAACTCCGACAGTAGTAAAGAAAATCCTCCGCTTTAAACAAGAAAATCCAGGGATGTTCGCTTGGGAGATACGAGAGCAGTTGATATCCCAGAGGATATGTGAACCACATAATATTCCGTCAGTTAGTTCAGTTAACAGGATACTCAGGAACAGCGGAGTATGGCCGGATCCACAGGAAGTGATGCAGCACGCGCGAACAGGACATATCCCAGGTTGGTGATGCTTTCGTTAAGGCTTTACTGTGATCTAACAAAAAGCTGACAAAAATCAATCATGACTTACGAGGTCTGTGAGATATGTGATGAGACTTATATTTTAATTTTTTTTTTTTTCAAGTATAATTACAATTTTATATTGCCACCCTCAAAATAACTTCCTTCTGAAGCCACACAGCGCTGGGGACGGTTCGTCCACTCCTCATAGCGTACAGCTAGTCGGTTACCGCCGTTTGAATGTTTTCGACTGTCCCAAAACGAGTTCCCTTGAGTTTAGTTTCCAACTTCGGGAAGAGAAATAAGTCACAAGGATTTAGATCAGGCGAATAAGGAGTTTGGGGAGCCACAGGAATGTTTTTACTGACCGAAAACGCGTTTATTGGCATTGCTGTGTGACAATGAGAATTACCGTGTTGAAGCACCAGGTGTCCTTGATCTGATGAACGCGTGTGAGTCAAATTTAACTCTTCCCCGACCATTCTTACTGTCAGTCGATGATCTGCTGATAATTGTACGGAAAACATCTAGGATTGCTCCAATTTTTAAAAAAGGGGACACATCAGTGATTGAACATTGTAGGCCTGTGGTAACTATAAGCAATGTTTGCAAACTTTTTGAATTTATTTTACATGATATAATTTTTTCCCATGTTAAGCGAGAGATTTTATCCAGCCAACACGGCTTCTTCCAAGGTAGGTCAACGTTAACTGATTTAGCGTGTTTCAAACAATTTTTCTCGGAAACTATTGATGAGGGAGAACAAGTAGATGTTGCATATGTAGATTTTTTGAAAGCCTTCGATAAACGAGATCATGGCGTTTTGTTGAATAAATTGGCTGCGCGAGGATTGAGTCATCAATTTTTGTGCTTTTTTAATTCATATCTGACAGATAGATATTTGATGGAGTAGAATATAGAGGTGTTACTTCGCTTGACATTACATCTTCTTCAGGTATACCGTAAGGGTCTGCGCTTGGTCCCCTACTGTTTCTGACTTTTATTGATGATGTTAATGAACTGCAGAGTAGCTGTCTACTTTATGCTAATGATTTAAAGATATTTTGTCTTAGATGCTCTTAACACATGGTGTGTGTCATCCACAATAGACTAAGGAGTCGCAGTGGAGGATCATTATTGTTGCACTCACAAGAAACCTAACCTTACCTAACAACAGTAACAAAGTAACAATCTGTAACTTAATGTAGATAAATGTTGTACTAGGTCCATCATGCGCAACTTGCTCCAACGCATTTTGTTTACACCGCTGATAAATTGCCGCTAAAACCGTGTCAGGATTTCAATGATTTGGCATAGTATTTAATACGAAACTAACTTTTCTCGAGCACATTGATACTGTTACCAGCAAAGCATACAAGTGCTTGGGCTTCATAATCAGGAACTGTAGAGATTTTAATAATTCAAGGACCAGGATTCTGTTGTACAATTCATTTGTGAGATCTAAAATAGAATATTCCTTACTAATATGGTACCCTGTTTATGAAGTGCATCGCAATAAGATCGAAGATATTCAAAGGCGGTTTACGAAATATCTCTAGCACAGAGAGGGTGGTACTTACCCACCAATTGGTTTCAGGCACGATGTGTTGCTAAGTAGGTTTAATATGTCTAATTTAGAAAAGCTGGGGGATTATGCTGCTTGTATGTTTTTATGTAAATTACTCAGTAATATAATTGACTGTGAATACCTACTTGGTAAAATTGCTATACATGTACCTTATGTTAAAACTCGTGCAAATGTAAAATATTTTTACCTCACTGTACCTGGAAGCAACGCTTTTCTCTCCTGTTCACGTAATGTGTAATAGTTATTAATGTATCAAGAACCGTGTAGATATATTTTTCTGTAATATGCGCGAAATTAAAAGATGTTTTCTTACCATAGGTTAAGTCTTTCTTGATAATCAGAAATCTATTGTATATGATTGTATTACCAGCATTCTAGATACATATTTGTGAATTTGACTCGAGTGAGTTCAAACTTGTACTGAAGGCGGACCACATGTTTCCCTGCCTCCCCTCGGCTCCTTCAGTGTTACCAAATCGAACGCTATGATGTCAGTCTCATCACTTAATTTACAGACCTCGTATACACTAATGGAGATAATTGAAGGGTCAACAAATTTTTCCGAATTTTTAGTGATCTTTCAGAATGATGTATCTCAGCGAAAAATCATCGTATCGATGTTTAAAGAAAAGCATTTTAAAGCTTCTAGTTTTAAGATCTTTCGGCGAAACATTCCAAAGTTTGATGTACCACGCAAATTTAAGAAATAGGGTGATAATTTTTTTCTTGTTCTTCAAATCTATGGAATTATGGATATGGGATTATGGTATGGACCGGATAACTTGCTTACTCAACTTCAATTTGCTTTTTTTAAAACCTCGGTCCGGCATTTTTTTGCTGAAATTTCGAACTTTAAGTCAGAGATGACCCTTTTTGTCTTTGAAGAACGGTAATTCAACTACCAATGGTATAACAGACAATATAAGCGCAGTTCTGAAACCTGGAATAAACCTGCAAAAATCTGCTGCGACCTAAAAGAAAAAAAAAAGTTTTTATCGTTGTCATAAATTTGAAGAAATGATAAATAAAGGGTAATTTATGGTTTTTCATAACATCAACGGCTAAATTTCAAATCTTGATGAAACTAATGTTGAATATACCTAATTACAGTTGATAATACCCTCAAAAAACATACGAACTCTTATTACTGTCATTCATTCCTTGTTGCAAACAGTCAAATTTTAGAAAAAATTAAAACGTCTCGTTTTTGAGCATACACATGTTCTAATCATGGTTAAAAAGAAAAAAATTATTCGAGCTGTTTGTTCATTTTTATCGTAAATAGCGTAATTTGGAAATATTTAGAGGACTGATTGAACGATGAACGGTATGGAACCAGCAGCTTTTTTGCTGGTACTTGCGTTCTGCTACATTTTATAGAAATGTTTAGAATTTCTTTACATTGGGGATATTGCACATTTTTTACGAGAGTTGAATGAAATGTACCATTTTGTTTTTGAGATAATTTCAATAACATTCATATGGGTTCTCAAGAAATACTTTATTTATCCTTTTTACTTCAATGTTAACTTATAACATGTTAAAACCGATCGTACGCAACTTCAAGAGCTTAAAATATCCCAAAATTTGTAGGAGATTCCCGTTTTCAGAATATTTGGTTCGAAGTTTCATAAACTGGTGGTTTCCGTCGTATTAGTGTTTTACATATATTATTTCATCTTATAAAAGAAAACAATAACTACTTGTCTTTGTATAGATAACTTTTGGCTGGCCTTGTGACTAAACACTGGAAGCAAAAAGGCATGCCTGTAGAACGAAACTGTTGCACACGCTTGTGCAGGGGATGTAAACAGGAAATTATGAGTTGGTATACAATTGCCCAGCTGTCACAACAATACGTGAATCCATTCTCGATGAGCGTTGACCTGCTATGGCTAAAGTAAGGTATACTCCGCTGGGTTGCACTACCACCTTTTTCAATAATTTGGAGTAGTTGATGATCCAGTAACCCCTGGGAAGGACGTACTCACCACAATAATAAATACCTAAGAACGGCTCTTTTTGGGATTTAATCACCTAGGGAGCAGCGCTAGTTGGTTGTCAATTATCATACCGTTTAGATGCGTAATAATCCCAACTAACAATTATCACTCCTATTAGAGTTGCAAGAATGATTATACAGTATTCCTTACACAGCATTGTATACTGTAAGAACATTGGCAAAACCCTCTTAGAACAGCTATACAAGCGGAATAGGCTCACCTAATAGGACACTTTAGTCATTTTTAAGAGGTTGTATAAGGCTGCAGATAACAGTTATACAACAAAAGTGTAAGCCTCTTGCAGCCGCTATAAGACATTTCAATCAGTACAAGATTCAGTTTTCGTCAACTATACAACTATTATGTTACGTGATTCTACTTTATTGCAACCAAACTATTTCTTATGTATTGTATAGACGAAGTGAAGAATATATAATTAACACATTACAGTAATCTTGTTTACTTACATATCGGCCATTGTGAATTTCATACACAGATATATGATAAACTTTCACACTGTGATATAGGGCTATTGAATTACTTGCGCAGCAAATTTTATTGTGATTATCGTGCAAAGTAGTTACACAGTTTCTGCGGGCTTCGTATTTGATTCATATTTTAATAATGATCAAAAGTATGTCTAGATTTTTAAGATGGAAAGCTGAAACTTATCTGCATTAAATCTTCCTCAAATCCTATATTTAGACACAATTACACTAATGTTTCTCACTTTATATCTGTAATTTCGAACTGAAACATAATTATTTGATATTAAATAGAGGAATAAATGTTTGCCCAATATGGCGGGTGGTTGTGTATAATCATGGCATCGTCCATGTTGTCTTTAGTTTATTAGAATATTTTGGTGTTACCTGCAGGTGTTATACAACAATTTAACAAATGTCTGAAATTAAATTCCAACAGAGTCGAATGATTTACCCAGAATTTGTACCAGATCTATATATTCTGTTTGAACAGTTGATAAAACCTTTTGAATCAATATGCATGCGTTGGTGATTGGTTATGGCATTTTAACAAAAATATGACAGCAGGAAGTTAGGTTATGGTAAAGCTGTATACCAACATATTTAGCAACAAATGTATGCCTAGCACATCAATTTTGTACTACAAAAGTTGTAATATTGTTGCATATGTACAGCCTTTAACAGTTACTAAACAACAGTTGTATAAGTACATTTTGACTAGCGTGCAAATATGCCATATAAAATAGTTGTATAAACGTTTATGCAACAGTTAAATATTTGTCCTATAAGGTGTTGTATAACTATGCTATAAGAATATTTCAAATACCTCATTTCAGAGCAAATATGTTGCAGAAAGCAAATTTGCATTCCACACAACATTAAGCTGGCATTTTGGTGTTCAGGCAACAACAATAGAGAGCTTTTATGGCTGAACGGTTCTTTTGCCAAAAGCTTATAGCACTACTTTGGGAATGCGAGTAACTGAGCAGTGCATCTCATGCCAGAATGACTTTCACGTCATTTACAAATATCTTTAACCATTTCAGAAGCTTTGATGAGTGGTGCCGACCCAAGCATTTACCCCATGAAGACTTCACCACCGCCAAGCATGAACCGTTCCCCCACAGACTTCAGCCGAAGCCTTTCCTACTTCACACCGTCATTTCACCATCCAGCCTCCCCTTCAGAGACCTCCTACCTGCCTGACAACAGGCTACTGACCCTCCATCAGCTGCATATAGCCACCAGTTCACACCAAAATGATGCGGGGGCACCTCAAGCTTGGCCCACTTTGATCGCTCCTTATCAGACAAACAGGGTAGACGTAAAACGAACTGAAGATGTGAACAGTCCTGGAAAGAGGCAGATCGGTGAAGAATGTAGTCAGGATGGACGCACATGTAGGTGAAGTAGCTTCTAGATAATAAATCAGTACTTAAATAACGAACTAACCAAGCAACATTTTGCCATCCTGAAGGATTCAAGTAAGGTTTAAATACCTTTTCAATGAAGCATTTTGAGAGAGTGGTATTATGTAGAAGAGAGAAGAACCACCCGCTTTCTAGGACCTCAAATGTTCCAGCTCAGCGGCCATGAGTTGTTAGTTCGCCATACTTTTCATATTTCTCGATAGTTTTCAGCCTCTTCCAACACATAATATTTTATGAAATGCTGACAGTAAGAATCTTAACCTCATTACAAGTCTACCGTTTGTTATTCTTTAATCTTATTCGGGCGTAGAAGTGTATATTTTAGTTTCAACACACAACCTTCTTTATGCCCTAGGGCAGTAAAATTATCTTACCGTCCAGTATACAGGGAATACCGAAAATTGGGGCGTTTATTTTCAGAAACAAATACGTTTGAAATAACGAAGCTAATATCTGGTAAAACAGCAGTAAAAACATAAAAAAGAGGTTAGAAAAAAGTAATCACTATTAATTTGATCAGGAATTTCAAGTACTACTCTGTCACTTGTTTGCTTCGTACATACTGTTAAATTTTTCGCCGTTTGATTCAAAAACGAGTTTGTTAACTTTTTTTCAAAATTTCCAACATTTGGAGCTGCCTTCGTCTTTTACGGTATCCACCTCGACCCTCGACTGCCTCAGCACGATGTAAATGAACCTAACATCGGAACAATCTGAATACACTCGCGAAGTATCAGTAGAACCTTGAAGAAGCTCGCCATAGACTAACATCAAATTGATAACTTCGTTATTGCGATAGATCGATGCCAATTTCGGGTTCTCAAATCCGATTTTGAATGATCTAGGTTATCCTCCACACCATGTGGCGCCTATTTACGCAATCGTAGCACTAAACATCGTATCTTGTGACCTAGGATACAGGTTAAGGTGTTAAGGTGTTGGTGTATCTATTACTACGAAAACCTGCTTATTCTTCTATAAAATCCATATTTTGAAAGCACCTTGTGTATAAATTAGCCTATGTTGAACACAGAATGGCGGCAACGACAACTGTCCTTATTCTTTGCTAGGCAACTGAGCTCCTCCGAGTGTTTCTATTTTAGCCTTCGATGATATATTTTTTGTGTATCTCCACCCAAATAATCGTTTACGTCCCCTAGCATGTTGCACACCGCGGCATATGCTCTAATTTCTCGCCGTTAGGCCGACTTAACTTTGAATAAGCTACGAACTGTCCATGAAAGACTTTGAACAATTTTGTTCTACATGCAGCATTCTATTAACCGCTTATTTATAATTTTTTAAATTACCCAAAATAAAAGATCCTGGTCTATTCCGTCTTTACCCCATGTGCACACTGGGTCCGCACCCAGGATCTCGGCTTGATGGGGGCACTCAAATGCCCAAAAATCAAAATGTCTTGAGTACAACTCTGCTCTTCGATATTTCATATTAACATTAAACAATTTTATATAGCTCTCACGACAAAAAAGCCGAATATCACAAAAGAGTCTTCTCCCTTTTCGGCATAGTAAACTTGATTTATTATTTGAACTTGGTTTTTGCAAATCCAAACTTACTACCGACGGTCTTTATTTCAGTAAAGGAAACCAAAAAGAGAAATCCATACTCGATCGAGGAGCTGCTGAAAAAGCCAGCAAAGAAGACGAAACCGTTAGAGTATTCTGGGGTGCAACAGCCTTATGGAGGATTGCTAATAACAACAGATCATTTTAACAGAAGTGATGCGACGCGCAGCAACAGCAGCAGTGGCAGCGACAGTGAACAAGAAAAAGAAGTTAATGTTGACGTGGACTAAAAAAGGGCATTGTAGTGTAGACTGATATTAAGAAGGTTATTTCGATCGTGAAAATGTGGCATCAATTATAAGGTGCATTTTAGCTTACTATTTCAATATGTCCACCACGTTCAATCTGTGATTTTGTTGACATGTTTCTGGTTGTCTAACAAATTCAGATTCGGAAGCTGGATGCGAAATTTTGATTTGGATCAAGAACTCATATTCGAAATTAGGTATCGGAATCTAAATAGCTATTCGAAATTCCGGTTTAAAATACAAATTTTGAATTCGGGTAACTTTCATTTTATTCTATGCAATTAAAATTACCAGCAATGTAAATAATTGATAAGAATTTAGTATTTTATAGTTATTTATAGTTATTTATTATAGCGCCATTAGGAAATTGTTCCAAATGCTATTTGGAAAAAAAAAGTAAAACTGTGAGTTAAATTTTTGTCTGAAGATGCCATGATTGTATACATTCCATTACCATGTTTATGTAAATGTTTAATAAAATGTAGAAACATGCCTATGTGTTTTTTGTGCATTGATGTGGGACGCTGATGAAGATTGATGAATATGAACCGGACTTTTGTTTTAGTAATTTTATTGGTATAGTAAATACAAGTTTATTTACATCTTAATTTTCTACATAATATTCTCCCTTATTATTGCATTTTTCCCACCGGATCGGAAGTTTTTTAATTCCCCTATTAAAGAATGAAGCTGGTCAGTCAGTAGTCAATTGTGCATGATTGTTTCCATAACTTCGTCGTCAAAGTGGTGACTTCCCAGGTCTTCTTTAGGTGTCCCAAACATGTGAAAGTCACATGGTGACAAATCGGGACTGTAAGGCGGATGTTCAAGTGTTTCCCAATGAATTTCACGTAATTTTTCTTATGTCAATGCAGCTGTGTGTGGCCCACCATTGTCAGAGAGCAGAATTGCACTTCGCTTTTTTCGTCGATAGGCCAGTTTCACTTATTTAAACAGTTGGCAGTAGTAAGCAGCATCAATTGTATGGAAATCGTGAAGAGAATCAACTAGCAGTACACGTCTGGAATCCCAAAATACCGTTGCAAGAACTTTTCCTGCAGAAAGACTGGTATTGGCTTTTCGCGGTGCTGTCTCTCCAGGGATTCGCCACTCCATGGAATTTTGCCAGTCGTATACTTGTGTACTTGAAACTGTCTTATCGCCGAACTGTGCTGTTAATCGACGCAAAATTTCACAGAAGTGTGTACCTATTCTTCAGACATGATACTTCTAACTGCTCTTCTATTTCGGCGCGCTAAACCGACTGACTCCCCTCTCCATTCACCTATGGCGCGTTAAACAGAAAAGTCCAGTTCATATTTGATTCACCCTCGTATATCCAGATTGTCTCCAAGACATTCTAAATAAATTCAGTGGTTTACCTTCATAAACTATTATACTAAGCAGACAATAACATTTTTTTACAACTGCAAAGACAATTAATGACAGTATGTATTTTGTTTATCTGTCTTCCAAGTGACAGTTCACTGATTTGTTCTTTTCTTCTTTAACAATAAATGAAAAAATAAATTACCTATCACCTGAAAGACCTCATGTAAACAAAATGTATATTACCATTCTCATTGTGCTTGAAAAGGATACCGTGGCGACCAAAGCATAGTACTTTATATACACAAAAATTAAAACATATACGAGAGCGGTCCGATAAGTGCTTAACCTACAAGAGAAAAACGAAAGTTTTGGCAATTTCTTTCTCAACATACCCTTATACCTCGATACAATGGCCCCAGCGATGCTCCAACTTCTCTAGCCCGTCTGAAAAATACGTATTCGCGAGGTCTGCAAAGTAGGCCTCCGTGGCGGCGATAACCTCCTCATTGGAGTCAAATTTCTACCTGGCGAGTGACTTCCAAGTTTGGAAACAAAAAGAAGTTACACGGAGTCAAATCTGGAGAATACGGTGGATGGGGCAAACCTAATTAGACCAATTTGGCCTAGGCGACGGCGATGTGAGTTGTTTTGCCCTTCTCCAGGTAGTCGAAAATGGTAGCCATCACCTTTCCGGCCGGTAGGACAGTCTTCGCCTTCTTCGGAGCTCGTTCGCCGGGTGAAATCCACTGATTCGACTGTTCCTTGGTCTCTGGTGTATGTGCACTTAAACAGCGTTAAGCACTGCTCTGAACTGGTGTCACGGTTGCGCTTGATGACCGGAGTCAGCAAACGCGGACCCATCGCGCACACAGCGTTTTCATGCCCTTACAGGGTATGATCCACGCGGTCTTTTGAGATGCCTACTGTCTCAGCTATCTCGCGCACCTTCAATCGGCGGTCTGCTGAGATCGTGAATTTTTGTCACGTTATCCTTCTTGGTAGCCATTTTTAGGGCACCTGGGCGTGACTTTACAAAAATTGACGTGCGACCACGTTTAAACTCGTTAAACCGATTTTTGGCGGTCGCCATCGAAGGAGCAGAGTCACCGTACACAGCATCCAAGCACTCTTTGATTTTGCCGCGCGATGTCCAAAAATCGAATCACCGACCGATATTGCTCTTTAACAATTTTTCTAAAATTCGCGGACACGCCCGCTTCCACATGGTCAAAACAAAACTTCGAGAGCGATTCGGCTGAAATGTTTACAGTAGCTGTCTACGAGAATGCACTACAAGATAGTAAATTTCTCTTGCGATAGTAGCGCCATCGGGCGGTGATGGTAAGTATTTTTATCGGACCGCTCTCGTATGTGGTTTGATTCGGCCAGGCAATGGAGTCCTGTGAACATGAAAACGCGACAGGAGAAGTTGCAGGAGCTACATTAAAAGCCTAAAACCTTGTTGAATGATTTGAAAACATACCCGGTAGTTTTTACAATTGAATTCGGAATCATCAGTATCATGGATAATTTATAAAACAGTACTGAAACAAAAGATAGCAAAAAGAATATGATGGAAAATTACCCACTGACTTTTGATTTCACGTCTCTTTAGTGAACACAAGATATTTTTGAGGAAACCTTTCTACTGTCGTGCTTTTTCAGTTAACAAAAGCAGTTTTCGGGCTATCACATATCTTTTCGAAAATATTATGGTACTGCAATGGGCGCCCGTACGAGAATCAGGGGCTCGTGAACACACACACACACGTTCACTTTCTTGCGGATCATTGCCCCCTTGAGAATAAATCCTACGAACGCTAATGGTACAGCTTCCCTTTCCCCTTTGAAACTTTTCCTGAATCTGCGCCGCCTCTGTCAAACACTGTTGACAGCTGTTAATTCATTATTTGTAGATAGTTTTATATTCAGCATGATTATGATTACATAATGCTATTCGCTTTGAAAATAGACTAAATTCTATGTAGTATAAAAAAAGTAATGTCCAAGGGTGTATAAAATAAATTACCACGTATAGCGTGTTGCATATATCGTGCAATGCATTTCAGCCGTTTTGGAATTTCATTTGTCCATTTTTGCCGACGTACCTGTCACGTTGCTGTCATCAACCTAACCTCGAACATCCCAAAGTTTACTCAAAGCACTCGTCAGTTTTCATTGGGTTTTTCAGAAGTTCCTTCGTCATCACGTTTATTGAGTGAGTATGCAAATTTTCAGTACTTTTTTATGTTAATTCGTGTACATTTTTCACATCAAATCCGTCCCTATATCAGAATTTATTATCTGAAAATTGTGAGTAGAAGCCGAAAAAATGCTTAATTCAGCAAATTGCAGGTGTTTAATGCCAATTTATCTCACAAATTGCAACTTAATATGGTTATCATTATGAAGTTACTGCAGTTCAAGTATTTTACCTACTTGCTACAATCTCGGTATCGGGAAAACTGATACGTATTGCAAATATTGACTAAAGGAATAATGAAATAGTCTAGTATCTCATATATGTTTTAGCTATTTGTAATAAGTATAATATATTGTTAGAATATAGATCTCATAACTTTTGATACTGTGCAACTTCACTTAGATCTAAAAACAATGCCCGCTAGAGCCTAAATGAAGGTTTGTTGAAAAAAGTATTGAAAAACCATGTTGGTTACCTACTTTGTAGATATCTTGTGGATTATTTTTTGTTTGGTGTCATAGCATGTTCTTTATGAAACAAAAATGGTTCTATGCCATGTCTAAGATTATTTTTGCATTTTTAAGACAAATATGTTTTTGGTTGCCTTCCACAAATGCTGAAGGTTCCATATCAAAATAAATTTAATGTTTTTTGTATTGTATTTTGTAAATGAGTGTGATTTAGAACAAAGAACATATTTTCATTGTTCCCATATCTCTTTATATGATATGGAAAGATTACTTATCTTTAAATATAATTTTGCAGCAGTAATGCACAATGCATTTATAATATTGGATCTTAAATGCTATAAAAAATGGCATCATGTAGCTTGACTCTGCACTTCCTATGTGACACCTATCATTAGTTCATAAAGAATTAAGTTTTGCACACGTTAAACCCTCTGAGATAAAAATTAGTTATGAAGGTGTAAGAAATTGAATGGATCAAGTCAGTCAAACAAGCCCATATAATTAGTCCATAAACATTCTTTTCCTGCCCCACTGGTAGTTACCTTCTATCTAGAGACATTGCTCCATTCCATATCATCAGACATGGCAGTACCGACTGAAGCACCCCCCCACAGTATTTTCGAAATTTTTCGCGATTACGATACTTCCTCGCCCAGTGGCAAAGGAAATAAAATTACAAGTACCAGTGCTGCCAAATAAAAAAACCTAAAAATGGTAGGTGGCACACTTAAAGAACTGTCAAAAAAAAAAGATTCGCCCAGGGGAGTCATAACTCTTGCTCCTTCATGGATCCACTCTTCATAGCCTTGTTACTGAACTAATGATGTTGCTGTTGGGGCCAATTTAAAGAGGCTGGTGGGAAGAGAGGGGGTGTTTCCAACTCCCAGATAACACCCATGTGCCATTTTATTCAATAAGTGCTAGGCCTGGACTTCTAGAAAGGGCATAGAAATTGAGTGCTGTATGGTAGAATGTTAGTTAAAGCCTCAAAATGGTAGATACCATAAAAAAGGAATATCTGGCGGCTCTGCTTGGTAAATTCAGGGCATACATATATCAACTCATTGATCAAAGAGATACACATTGCACTTTTTATAAAAACAAGATTACATAAATAAAAAAATATCTAGACTAACCCCCTTATTTTCCACTCTGTTAATAATTATTGTGTTAGTACTGCTTCTGTCCGACCAACCAACTGTGCTATTTCATGTTTGTTGGCAGTCATAGGAATTGACATGGCGGAACAACAAATGAGTGAAGTAATTACATCACAAGTGCCATCTGCTAGGAGAATCTGTCTTTGTCATAGTGACAGTAGTAAATCACCTGTATGCTATCATAATTGTGACCATAGTTTACAAAAAGTTTTCTCTTCCTAATGCCCAATCAGCCTTGAAGAAACAATTCTCATGCCCATGCTTAACTATATAGCAGCAGTAGCAGTATTTATTAAGAATTATAAGTGATTATTATTATTACCATGCATTTTCCATAAAATACTATAAAAAAAATTGTTTTGATTCAAGAAGATAACATGAAAACGGAAGTAGACAGGGGTCAGTATGTGCTACCAAATGATCAACCTGTTGTGACACTTGAAATAACATCAGCGTTCAATGGATTATCAAAAAAGGAAAAGCTTTATGCACACTATATCAGCAAAGCATCATGGCATGGAGGCTTGGTAACCTTGTTGCAAACCAGCCCTGAATCAGGACCTGCATTTGTCCTCTTACATAAATTGTTTTCTGCTGAAGACTTGGAAAAATTCAAGGCGAAAGTCATTGATGCTGGATTCACAGAGGATGAGTATCAAGCTTTGCTGGTATATAGCTGTGGAGTATTCTGCAATGCTGGTAACTACAAAGTAAGTTTTTCACTCTTAGGTGTAGATATTTCAAGTATGATTTCAAATGGCCTATTTTATCAAAATCAAATGAGATAAAGCGTTAGGCTTCCCAAAATTATTGTTTTTGGACCATTTTACAAGCAGTAAAAAATATCAGCAGCAATGGCGATCTAATTGAGATTGTTGTTTTCTATGGAAACCACCAAGAACCAACTTGTTACTAATCTGTCAAAATTTAGTTGAATTATACTGTGTCATTCAAAAGTTATTTAAGAAAAAAGTAGATCCAGGAGCATCCTAAAGGACATTTTTAACTTTATAAATTATTTGTGTGCAGTATTTATTCTGTATATTTATTTATTTTATGTAATTATGTACATACAAGACATAAATTTTCAGGGATTTGGAGATACTAAAATTGTCCCTAACATGGAGCAATCTCGCATGGAAGGGATGTTGAAATTGAGCACAATATGGGATCAACTAAAACCTCTCTGGAACAGTCTTAAAGATACTCTGTTCGATCTAAAACCTGGAATAACATGTTTGGGCTATAACCCTGAAGGAGTGACTACCTATTTGTCCAAGAACTGTACACCTCAGGACACTGATCAGGTGCAAGCATGGTTGAAGACAGAAAAGATAGAGTGCTACAACACAAGGTTATTTAAAACTGAAAATAACGGCAAGGTTTGTATTGATACAATCTATCTTCAAATTAGGAACTTTCATGATCAGTCTTGCTTCAACACTTTCTGCTCAAGGTGGTCACTAACTTCATAATATTTTTCTGTCTTATTAGTGTAGGAAGTAGGAATATCAATAAAGTCTTGAATCCAATAACAGTTGTTACTCCTCCAAAAATGTTTTCCGCATCCAACAACCATTTCATTCAAAAGGAATTCAAAAATGTTGATAAAGGGAGTTTAAAAAAAATCGTATTCCTGGAAATTTTTTGCACTTAAAAATCATTTCAAATATGAAATTCATTTAAACACACATTTTGACGACATTTCTGGATAACATGTTAATTGACCATTTTTTCAGATTACCTACGAAATTCGTCTTGCGTCTGAGCAAAAAGGTGAAATTAAACAGTTAACTGATGGAAACATAACTTACGTAATTACCCGTGGAGATTATTCGCCTTTGATGGGAAAAGTAGCAGACTTTTTGGAATCGGCAACTAGTCAGGCTGCGAATGACACTGAAATGAAAATGCTTAAAGCTTATGTTTCATCGTTCAGGACCGGTTCTCTGGACGATCATAAGAACGGATCTAGATTTTGGATTAAAGACAAGGGACCAGTTGTGGAAACTTATATTGGTTTTATTGAGACTTACAGGTGAGTTGATTTTGTGATCACCAGTTTAGAAGAATGTTTTTTATTTATTCTTGTCAAACCTTTCAGGGACCCTGCTGGTGTAAGAGGAGAATTTGAGGGTTTTGTGGCGGCAGTAAATAAAGAAATGTCTGCCAAATTCACAACGTTGGTATCCAATGCTGAACATTTCCTCACGTTACTCCCTTGGAGTAGAGGATTTGAAAAGGATGAGTTTCTCAAGCCTGATTTTACGTCATTGGATGTACTAACTTTTGCTGGTAGTGGAATACCTGCAGGCATCAACATACCTAACTGTGAGTTTGAGCACCTCTACAAAAGTTCATCACAAAATACATTGGAAAGGGGGTACAGTGAAATCGGCTGAATTTGCTGTATTTTGTACATTATGGCCTCCTGAAAAAGCTTGATTATGGACTATTTTTTAGGTATCAAGTATTAAGGTTTAGGAATACAGGTGTCTGCTCTTGTGTCTTCATTAAAAGCCTTATGTACAGTAGCGGACAAAAGTTTGGAAACTACATCCCAACATTATTATGAACTATTTCATCTACCTAAAAAAAATTGTGAAGGAACAGTTAATATAAATATTAAAGTCTACCTTTTGCTGCAGTACTAATACTAGGTTTATTTTATCAATATTCAAATTCTCTGAAAATAAAAACCCGCGTTTTTTTTCAATACCGCAGTTTTTTGTAACGACAAAAGTATGGAAACATTTCAGTTTTGCCGTATTTATTCGTTCTGCGATACTCTGATATTGCGTGCGGTAAATATTAACATCAGTTAGGATGGCAAAAGTAAAAGAATTTTCAAAAGATTTAAGAGACAAAGTAATTGAATTACATATTTAGAAGTGGTGTCAGAATTGTTGACATTTCTCAAAGATTTAAAATGAACAAAGGGACGATTTCTAAAATTATCAGTAAATATCAAGAATACGGGTGGACAGCAACGCGGCCCAGGTGCGGAAGACCGAACAAAAAAAACGATTATGCTATGGGTTGCTACATTAAACATTTGTCCCATAAAGATCCTCGAATACCAACCACACAGATTTCCAAAAGAACCGCAGAAGAGGGTACCGAGAATCTTTCTGTCAGAACAAAAAAAAATCGTATTGCTTGACTTGAATTTGCTAAAACGCATCTAACTTGGACAGAACAATAATGGCATACAGTGTTATGGAGCAATGAAAGCAAATTTAACTTGTTTGAATCTGATGGTACGGCATATGTGAGACGTCCAATACGAAAAAGATTCAACAAAAAGATGCTGCATTGGAGTGGAGGCCACTACCGACTGTGCATGGCTAACAAACTCCAACTGGTCTGCTGTGGTGTCACTAATGACGCACCGCTACAGAAGAAATATCTATATATTTTAGCAATATTTGGATATACGGAGTACCCTTTAGCGTTCTGCGATGCTTTTATACATGATGACTTAACTGATGTGTGTGTGTGTATCTACACATATTTTTCTGAATTTTAGGATCCTTATTGAACTACCCATTGCGCCTAACCTTTAATTTGAATTACTCCGTCTATGGTAGTTCTCTGAATCTTCCGTCAAGTAAATTCACTCACATTCACATGGACTGAAAAACCGACGTACTTGAGTGATGCAGATATCTTTTAACAACAGAAAACTTGAGAACCGAAGTTCGAATATTATCACGAGTTTTAATACATTCATCGTTTGGATAGTGGTAGATGTTTGGATAGTCGTAGATTTTGAAAATTGATTGAGAGGCGGCGGGAATAAATTTTCTGGAGCATAGTGTTACAACGTTTCAGATATTCCTGCTCACTTTCAGACATTGTTTACAGGGGATGGTTGTAAATTGTTGCGTATTTGGTGTCTTTCATATATCAGCAAATAGTGTTATTAAGATGCTGCTGATCTCTGTGATACTATGCACCTATTAGACATAATAAGTAACACATAGTATTTCCCTACATCTGACATGGAAACAGAAATATGATAGATTTGCTTTATATAGTTTGGTATGCAGAGTTCAAAGATTCATCATACCTAAGTCAACCTCTTTTGAAACGATTTGACTCATCCCTTCCTTTGAAACCCGCAATGAAGGTATAGGAGGTATGGAGTCAATCTACTTGACTCCATTTTTTCCTGTATGTTTTGCACAGTACTTTTTCAGAAACTGATTAATAATGGATGTTTTAGATGATGAGATTAGGCAAGCTGAAGGATTCAAGAATGTATCACTAGGAAATGTCATCCCAGCTAGTTATCAGATGTCAAAGACCCCTTTCTTGAGTAAAGAAGACGCAGATCTTTTACAAAAATGGAGGGTTCCAGCTTTTGAACTCCAGGTATGAGTATAGTCTCCGTCTATCTTTTACAGCATTTTTTTAATTTGGAACATTGAGCTAAAGTTCTTCGTCATTCCTTTTCTAGGTGGGCCTTCATGAACTGCTGGGACATGGTAGTGGCAAACTGCTCCGTCGAGGTGATGACCACACGTTCAACTTCCCATCTACCTTGCTCGACCCACTTACTGGTGAACATCCTGCTTCCTACTATGAACCTGGTGACACCTATGATACCTGCTTTGGTCCTCTTAGCTCTACTTATGAAGAATGCAGAGCTGAAGCTGTTGGATTATATTTGAGTCTTGAACCAGAGGTGTGTATTATTTTTAAGATATTAATATCAAGTGTCTTCACTATGATTAAAGTATGGTTTGTCAGATGGACATCGCAGTAACATGCATGTTTTACGAACACTGAAAACCCGTATGCGCTATTCGCAACGAAAATATCACGGTTTTAGACACAGTCTGCATTTTAGTGGTTTATTTAACTTTAACTGCACAATCCTTCTGATGTCGAAGGGGCTATTTCCAAAATTGGTAACAAGGACACAATAATGTCCAACGTTTTTTCATGGTTATAACCATATCAGACGATTGAGTTTTTTATTATAGGTGCTAAAAATATTTGGGCATGAAGGGCAACAGGCAGAAGACGTTCTGTACGTGAACTGGTTGTCACTGGTCTGGGCAGGTGCTGGAAAAGGATTAGAAGTGTGGGAGCCAGGAAGAGGATGGTTGCAAGCTCATGCACAGGTAGGTGAACATGGCTAATGGGAATCTTTCTTTCGGAATTTTAGTGGTAATGTCTATCTGTTTAGTTCTATGTGCGTCAAATGATTCTGTCATCGCATGTTGTTTTCTCAAAGCTTTTGGCGTTTTTCGTTATGACGCCCGCAAGGGGTGCCAAGGTGCCCACCCATGAGAATCCGATTGGAACTTAAAACTTGCATATGTAGCATGATTCTGTGTATATTTTTGGGAATTTTTGGGTTTACAATGAAAGAAGTTCTACTGTCATTCTTTACACTTTTCTGTGAAATATAAATATTTGAACAATACATGTACAGAAAAACTGTTTAGTGCTTTCACTGAAGTATGTTAAATGTTTTTACAAAAACCTTGCTCGAAATTAATGACTATAAAACTTTGTTGGGCTATATTTTTTTCCTAATAAGTAGATATTTTTGCTTTTCAGTACGATTGTTCTGTAACAAATGGAAAATAAAAGTCCACAAGGATTTTCGCTATGATGATTTTGAAAAGATTAAAAGATTAAAATAGCACTTGACCTCAGCAAAATTTTTGCGCACATAGAAATACATTATTTAACCAGATAAATTTTATGGAGCAATTTCAATATGCTCACGATAAGATTCAGTATATTTTCTACATCTTGTATACTTTTATCAATCAGATGGCTCGAAAATCCCGCATACGAGTATTTACGCGTAGCCTAATGACAGCTCCAACGTAGATACGAAGGCAACATTTGTAGCTTATTCACCATGCTAGAAAAATGTCTTAACATCTTTTTCGAATGTATCATAATTTACAAGACTAACAAAAATCAAAAAGTTTTTCAAACATTTTCCACGTCCTGTTTTTGGCAGGATCTGAAACTTTCCATCATGCTCAACAATTCTTTAACCTAAATCCAAATTTAATTATTTATTAACGATTATACAGGGTGTTTGGTGCAACGTTTGACAAATTGAAATGGTGGGCAGAGGAGGTCTTTTTCGATCACCCCAGGTCCCTCAAACAGTTTTTAGCCTAACAGAATTAATTAAGTAGATTTTTTAATTTTTTTAGTAAAAACTCCTTAATCTAATACATAAATTAAGTGAAATAAAAAAAATAAAGAGTATGTCCACCTAATGATTAATTTATCTTAATGGGTGATGTGCCAGTCTTACAAAATCAACATTACTTGCAAGCAGCATGTAGTTTTTTATTTATACACTCACAAAGGGTTACAAAGAACAAAAAAATGTAAGTCTCAATTTTGAATTTCTGTAAAAAAACTAAAAGCGTTGACGTTCTTAGAATTCTTTTAAAAACTACTCTAGTTTATCCCGATTCTAACGGTATGCCACAAGTCACAAAAAAGTTTAACTAACTTATTGAATTTGCAAATTTTGTGTACAGGGGAAGGAAAATAAAAAAACGTGTAAAATCAAATTTCAATCATCTATTATTTTTTCTGTTTCACAAATCTTGTTCGAATTGTTGTCCTCGATTGTGTATGTACGCACGAATCGTACCAAACGCCTCTTCTATTCTTCGGATCAACTCCTCCCCTGTTCCAACTTCTGTCGCGTAGAAGAGTGCTTTTGTACGTCCCCAGATGTAAAATTCCAATGCAGTTAGGTCTGTGGAGCGTGCAGGCCATGGAATAGGACCATCTCGTCCAATCGACGCATTCGGAAAATCATCATTTAGATGTTCCCGCACAATTAGCCTCCAGTGTGCAGGACAGCCATCATGTTGGAACACAATTCATCTGTCGCCATTGAAAATTGGCACCTCATGCACCAATTCGGACAACTTATTTTGCAGAAAATGTAGATAATTATCTCCGTTAAGACGATCTGGCAAATAATGTGGCCCAATCACATGATTGCCAGTTACTCCTGCCCAAACATTCACACTGAATCATCTTCTTGGCCTCTTCATTCTTGGATTCTGATCTTTTGAAGCCCAATGGTGCAGATTGTGCAAATTTAGTATCCTTTCCTTGGTGAATTTGGACTCATCCGTCCACTGAATACTTGTCAAAAAGTCCGGATCGTACACGTCTGTGTGCAGCAAGAAACGACATACCGGAGTCGGTTGTCGAAGTCATTGTTTTCAAGACCTGCAATAAAAAAAATACGGGTAACATTAGTTTGCCGCCGCTAAATGCTAAATAAAAGCGATAAGAAGTTTCCATTGCAGACAGTTGTAAGTGTGATAAAAAAAATACGTACCTTGTACAGGAGTGTAGTGGAAGACATGTTTATTATTCTGGCGAAGTACTTTTCACACTTTCCAAATTGAAATTCCCAGTGATGAAGCTACATTTCTGATGCTTTGAGTAGGATCTTCCTCGACAAGTGCCAAAATCCTCTCATCGATGTCAACATTGTGTCGCACTACGACACCTCTTGATACATTATTGCTCGCAGTACCGGTTTCTCGTAAGCGTCGATAAGTGTTTTGGAATGTGTGGCGAGTAAGTGCACGCCTGTTAGGATAGCGCTCTTCGTAGATTCTTTGCGCTGCTCGTGCAACACAGTTGGCTTGTCCGTACACCAACAATATGTCTGCACACTCCTCCATTTGTAAATGCAGCCATCATCAAAACAGAACTCAACGAAAACTGACAAAACAACAACAGTCACAGGTTGCGGCACTACGTAGAAGTAACAAAAGCGTTAGGCAGCCAGCAGGGACGAACCTCGATGGAAAAATGGACCCACGTCGTCCCTGTCGGTTAGCCGCTCAACTAGTAAAAGAGAGAGACAGGTGATACTGATCCGCTGCGTACGATGGAGACAAAAGTTTTTACCTGAGTTACGTTGTACGTATAAATGACACAACAGAAACAAAAATTCGTTATTATCCGACAGAAAAAATTTGACCCTGTATACAAAATTTGCAAATTCAAGAAATTGTTTCATCTTTTTTGTGACTTGCGGCATACCGTTAGAATCGGGATAAACTAGAGTAGTTTTTAAAGGAATTCTAAGAACGTGAACGCTTTTAGTTTTTTTTTAAGGAAATTCAAAATTGAGACTTACATTTTTTTGTTCTTCTTTGTAATCCTTTGTGAGTATAAAAATAAAAAACTACATGCTGCTGGCAAGTAATGTTGATTTTGTAAGATTGGTACAACATCACCCATTAAGATAAATTAATCATTAGGTGGACATACTCTTTTTTTTTATTTCACTTTGTGTATTACATTTTATTTTTTCTAAAAAAAATTAAAAAATCTACATAATTAATGCCGTTGGGCTAAAAAAATGTTTGAGGGACCTGGGGTGATAGAAAAAGACCTCCCCTATCCGCCATTTCAGTTTGACAAACGATGCACCAAACACCCTGTGGAATACCAATACTGCTTTGAGTTTTTACAAACATCTGCGCATAGAGGCTGATTTCATATGTAGGTGTGAGGGAGATGATCTATGGAAATAATTCTTGCAGATTTACTATGACCCGCCAAAAACCGTGAAAATACCTGTAAGCATGAGAGGTGGGCGGCGCGGGCGCCACCTTGTGTATATTTATTTTAGAGCAGGTACATCTTTCAATTACGGTGGGTGTCTTCTGGTGAAACATGTTTATGAATCTCTAAATTCAGTGCTTCTTTTTTTCCACCAGGCTCGCTTTGTCCTGGCCCGCGTTCTCATCCAAGCAGGTGTCGCCAGAATGATCCAGACATCTGAAGACGACCTTTTGTTAACGCTGGATCGCTCAGCTCTTAAGGGTGCCGGCAGAGCAGCCATTGGCCGATTCCTACTCCAGTTGCAGGTGTACAAGTCCACAGGAAACATCCAGGAGGCCAAGAAACTGTACAATCACTACTCCGAGGTGACGGAGCCGTGGATCAGCTGGAGGAAGATAGTGATGGCCAATAAGCAGCCTAGGAAGATGTTCGTACAGGCCAATACAAAAATCGAAGGAGATGAGGTAATAGTTCAAACATTTGACAGTTTTACCTGAAAGGTTAAATAATTGAAGGTGATAACTTGCTCTACATTTTTGCAGTCGGAATTAAAAAACTATTTAGCTGCTTACGACAAAAAGTGTCAAATACAGTCGGGGAAAGATAAAAACGATTTTGAGAAAATTCTCCGGAAATATTCTGAATTACGAAACTTTATGAGTGCACTGTCTTAGTTGCCTCAATGTGCAACTTTGCTCCCTTAACCGTTTTCGAATCTGTGGCTGAATTCCAAGAGTTTAAGGGTAGAATTTGAATCAACCGGTATACATAAATTATATGAAGGTTGATAATCATGTTTCATTCAAAAATGAGTCAAAAGCAGGTAGGGTATTTGTCAAGTTGTATAATAGTAAGGAGTATAATAAGATAGAAACAGATCCTGGGAGTCAGCAGGATACAGGCCGAGATAGTCTACCCGACAAGGATGCCTTAATCAGCCAGCTGTGGAGAACAATAAAAATCAGCAGGAAACGATAGCAGCGCAAACGAAGCTAATTGAAATGACATTGCAAATAGAAGATAATTACTGAAGAAGAGTGAATCGCCAAAAAAACGTCAATATGACAGCGGCAGTGAAAGTTCTACTGATAACGAAATGGACATAGCACACATGCAAGAAGATAACTTTAAATTATCGAGAAAACGCAGATCCAAGAAGAGCTCCTGCGATTTTCCACACTGCCAAGTAAACCCAGCCTGCTTCTTACTTCAGCTTCATATCTTTTACCTCAAACAAAAATTTTACCACTCAAACTCTAACATCGGCTACTGAATCTAGTCAAAATACAAATTCAGAACTAGTCCCTCCAGGTTCGAGCACTACACCTTCAAGACTACCTTCATCAAAGCGGGTCACGCTGATAGTACTGCGCGAACCAGGAAGTTGGAAGTTTCTATCTTATTCATGTGTTTCTCTTTGTATCAAAATTGAAAAAGCTGTGGCGATCGATGCCGGAATTGGAATTGCCCTTAAAACCGAGGATGATTGTAGAAAACTTGTACGCTTTCTATACATAGCACTCCATACATTTCCCCTTCCTGGAGAAAGAAACATTCACGCAGTCCTAATATCAACAACTGCGGAGGAAATGTGAAGTATAGGAAGAGCTGATATCAAGGGGATATCATATAATTCGCTTAAAAAATTATGGCGGGAGACCCGTTCCTCTTATATACGTAGTTGTGGTACTGCCGAACGTAGTAAAGTCTCATAACATTTCCAATGAGCGCAAACTAATGAGCTTGTCTATCTCTGAGGAGGTGCAACGAACTTCTCGGCAAATCGGTCAGTGCCATCGCTGTCAGAGATATGATCCCTCCCAGTCATATTGTACGGCACCTCCCAGGTGCGTGAAGTGCGCCCAAGAGCACCTCGCGCATCTGTGTCCACTTACAGATCACGATGCCAGAACCTGTGCAAACTGTGGCGAAAATCATCCAGCAAATAGCTTAGGCTGTAAATTTGTCCCCACAAAATATATTGAACTTTTACGAGAGCGACTTCTCTAAATTCGAACACAACTTATGCTGCTGTTGCCTCTTCCAGCAATACAAATTCGAACATTTTACAGTCCGCCCCAGTTAATGATTTAGCAACTGTCCTCAAATCACTTGAACATATTATAGCTCCTCTTCTGCACGCAACACAAGCCCTGAAGGCTGTCTTTAGTAACAGGGCCATAAATAAATAATAATAAATAAACTATATTCCGGCTCAAGTTCCTAAACATAAAAGACCCCTCTGGCTCTCTAAATTATATATCTTTTAGCAATACTCTAATCAAATTAAGCACCTTCCAGAATTCATATTAAATAAATCTCCTTATTAATTGATTCTATTCCCCCTTTTTCTCGGCTTTCTTTTATTCTTCCTTTCTTTCGTCTTCCTCTATCTTCTACATAATAAAAAATCGCACCTGGCTGGGCTTAGGAAGATTTTGTAGAAAGAAAACATCATTCTGACAGACAAGAGCCAAGGTCCTGCGGACCGCTCAAATAACAAACGACGAGACGAGAGTCAAAAGCAGATATTGTTAAATGTGAAAGAAGGCAGCACAAAATGCCATCTATTACCAGAATCGACCACTGCGAAAGTGTCTGCTGGGACTGTATCTCAGTTCGCATTTGAGAGCCGGGTTACTGTTCCAACAGACCGATTCCTGGTGATAAAAGACATTTTGCTTATTTCGATAGATACTGGTTAAAGCCAACTACTGTTTTTGGACAAACCTCACATTGAAACACGCGTTTTCAGAGTTAACTTCTGGATAACAATAAAATCACAGTTAACCTGCAGATGAAAAACCGAGCTTGATAAATTTCATATTCCATTGCTCTGAAATTCTGTAGAACTTAGGGTTAGTTTTGGGCCAGGTCAAAAAACACTTCTACCATGTCTCATACTTAAACAATTTTTGTTTGTTACAGGTAAAATTGAAGACTTATGATGCTTCCGTAGAAGGCCTGATTCAATCTTGGACTGAGAGATTTGAAGATCCTAAACCTTTATATCAGGCACTTCTGGAGTTAACAAAGGCTGACTCTCACCATTTTCAATGATATTAGAGTATTTATATTTTACGCGCGTCCATAACTATGGTGTAACAATACTTTTTTACTACTAATCATGTGTCTTTACCTTAGTGAAACATGAAATAGGAAAATAAATTGTTTTTAATATGCCTTACTTTCCATTACTCCAACCAACATTACGTTTCCCAAATTGTAACATATTGGAAGCAATAGAAATTCTTGAAATTTCGCTTCCTGAGCTATAACAGTCATATGACAACTCCGTTCTAGGATTCAGCTCCTCTAAGCTCAACTAAAATGTGATTTTCCGTAAACGAAATTTTTCGTTAAATCACCTTGTGATTTCTAACATATTGTTTGGCTTTTGGTCTGAGAACAGTAGGGAGCTACAGGCAGTTAGGATTATGGTATCTAGGGTCTTCACCCTTAATGAGAGTACTAGCATCTTGCTCCTGGACGCTTCGAAGGCATTTGACAAGGTGTAACACAATTGCCTTCTAAATTAATACAAAAGTGCCTCCCTTTTCGACTCCTAAATTTATCGAAAACCTTTCTTGAAGCACGACCAGTGTTCCTCTGGGTTCGTCCTAGAACCTATCCCTGACTCGCATTTTGTTCATGATATCCCTTGCCCCAGTCTACTTCTGCACTCATGACACTGATTTGGTGGCTCAGTGAAGTACCAGGAATCTGGTTCACGACAGGCTACAAAGTGCGGTAGATGAGATATTAGAATGGACAGATCCGTGGCTCATCAAAATTAATCATTCGGAAATGTAGTTTGTCTATTGTACTGAAAAACTTAGCAGATCCGTCTGAGGTTTCAGGGAACCGAAGTATCTTGGTGTCACTTTTGGCGACCTGGCAGAAGTACACTGAAGCGTTAACTTGCAAATTAGGTTTCAACTACTCATTGTTATGTAGAACATCTAAATTAAGTTTGATCTACCAAATTCGGTTACAATAGATGGTTATTACACCACCAATTAACTTACGCATATGCGGCTTGGTGTCTTCTTGCTACACAGTCGAGCAAGCACGCAATACCGCGACTGTCACTGTAAACAAAATTAATTCCTGCAACTTTAGGCCCAACTCAATTTACGTTTTTTCATAACAGCAAACGTCAATATCAATTTTCTGGTCCATGACACGTTTCCAACCGAGGTTCATTCACTTCCTTCCTTTCTTCTCACCTTCTTTCTCCCTGACTTTGTCTGGTATCTGGGCAACGAGACCTGACAGAAATCCAATACTTTAGCCAAGAGGGAAGGTCCTACTGACCGCCCTGACAGACAATGACGAAAACCGAGAACCCTGCAGGCGTTCGCCGTTCGCCCAGCGAAGTTAATTGATCCCGTTGTCGTCACTATGGTAAAAGGTGTTAGTGTGCAGGTCACAAATAGGCAAGTATAATTTAATATGATTTATATTACGTACTGGAAAACGACATCAAAATAATTTAAAATGAATCAATTTTAGACCTCACATACATACAAATGTATATACAGAAAAGATTCTAGTTGTACAAAAGATATACAAGATTTACAAAAATATAAATTCTTTTATTTGGCAATGGTTAGATCACTAAAAATCCGACGTCTACTTGCTAATATCCTCGCAACAGGAAAATATTTACTGAATACTATTAAGAAAGAAAACATCATGAACCCTTAATACTGTGGAATTTTAACACGAATATTCTATTATGGCAACAGAAAATTCCAACTTTTGAACAAAATTTGTATACTAAATTTGTTTGCGAAATTCACTCCATCACTAAATAACTAGATAGAAATCAAGAGATAAAAAATAAAAGTACATAGGGAATCAGGCAATGTGGTCTCAATCATTCAAATGTACATTGTGCACAAGTCATTTAGACAATGTTACTGGCTTATTCTATTGGATAAGAACAAATTTGCATTGGAATTGAAAAACAAAAAGGAATAAGTTTCGCCCAATTCATTCATATACCTTACATGATATAAAAAAAACAGATTCTTTAGCGATCCAAAATCTATAAATAAGACTGCAATAATGTTCAAACAAAATCAAGCTACGTTATTAATCTGAGGCACAAAAAAGCAAAAGCATACACATTCATTTGATGGTTACTAATTATTATCAAATTAAACTATTCACAAAATACAGAACACAGTCAAAAATGGAATCAACATAAAAATTATAAACACAGATAGAACATCACATCTCATATTAGTTGAACATCTCTCAAACAAAATATGTTCAAGTTACATGAGCAATATACACAACATATAATTATAGTAAACAGGACTGCCATTACTTACAAACTTAAATCCTTAGCAAACACTTTGCCATAAAAACAAAATGTGAAGTAATCAATTTATTATTTAAGCAAGATTTAAGAATTACCTGCTCTCTTTATAAAACAATACTTCCCACTTCAGAAAAAATGGACATTTGAGGAGTTAATAATGCTTAAGATTCCAATTGAATTTTACTTTCAACGTTTTTACTTGTTACAACAATAATCATCCAATGACATATACCTATGATAAAAGGAAAGCACATTGGTTTGCTCAAATATCTGGAACAAAAAACTTGTTGATGGGGCTGCAAGATACAATTCCACATCCCGTAACACTTGAGCAATTCTCATATTTTGACGGACAATGGCAGCTTATTTACTATTTAAACGTCACATATGTGACTGATCTAGAAAACAAGGGAAAACTTTTCAAAAGTACGATAGCTTTTGGAAAAGATTATCATATTGCCGAAGTACTTTGTCGAAACATTAGCGGCAAGAAAGCATTTTCCAGCGGCCCAAAATCTAAACATATTTTTGAGCTTTCAGTCAAAATCATAGCAAGAATTTATTCTTGTTCACGAGAACATGGGTGAAGACAATGTTTCAGGGATTTGGAACTACCAGATATACTCTTCTAACCAATGCCAAAGAGCACCTATAGAGATTACGTAGGCGGCCTAGCCCAAGTATATACATAGCCGTCTTGGCACGCAGTTATTATACAATCTGGTCTGAACACTAAAGAGGTTAACCGTTCATGAGCTATTTTCTTACACACTAATGGTTCTAAGATCGGGCACTCGTCTAGTCTAGGACACGCTGGTGTCCCAACCAACTGCAAAGGGTCTGGTTTGCGTTTCACTCGCGGTCTAGGAGGCACTAGGTTGTCCTCGGGCAGTTCCCACAAACAGATTTGGGTGTCGTGGCCAACTGAACCAAGCCTGATAAATAATAACAATGTTTGTATAGTGCTATTTCTCGGTAAATGTACTAAAGGATTGTTCTTATTTGACACTGACGAATAAAGATTTTTGGGACGTACGACGGAAACTAATGATATTGGGGTTGAAACCGTTCATCCTCATTTTTGTAGATCATTGTTCGTTGAGATTTAATTTTCATTCAAGGTACTCATAGGAGATGTCCATACGTTTCACCATAGTCGGAGAATGTAGGAAAACATAGCTAGTATGGTGACATTCTAAAGACAAGCAAGATGCTGATATGCAACCAAAATATTTTTTTTAAAACACCTCATTCCCCACATAACTAATTTGTTCAAGGAAAGACTTTTACTATTGCAAATAAAAAATACCTTTGAGGTTTTCGAAAATCGGTTCAATGACGCCAGAGCTATTACCAAAAACAAAACAAAAAAAAAAACGCTCAAACATTATCTCAGTAAAGTTTAAAAAAAATCGGAGAGAGAAAAAGTGGTGGTCAAGTTTGTAATTTTTACTGGACGTAGTACGTAATTGGAAAATCTGTGTGTTGTACTGTTTCAGTATACTTAAATATTTACCTGTAACAAGAGTCGACTTCTAAATACCAATCAAAAGCAACTGCAGAAACCCATGACCTATGTCCTTGTGCTCTGGCTACAACCCTCTTCTGCTCCAGTGAATATACGGTCACCAAGTCATCTTCCCCTCCCACAGCAACCAGCTTGCCATCTCCTGACCATGCTACACAAAGTAGACCTCCAAAATAGGATCTTGCATGCCCTACCAGTTCCATACTGTCATACTGAAAATTATATTAAAGTCTTTTCTTTTCAAAAATAACTATGATTGAAATAAGCAAGCAGTAAAAACATGGATGATAAAATCAGATTTGTAAAAACTCAAAAGGGACGATTTGTTTGAATAAATCACGATTATTTCATTTTGATTAATTTCTTTATCAAACCTTAAAGGAATTAATTTTCAGTTTTTCACTTTAACCATCCACATACTCTCATATTCTTGTACAGATTTGCATTAGAATAGTTCTTTCAAGGTCAAAGAGACCTGTGTTTACAAAAAAATCCTATTTATTAAGACAGATAACTGGGTCCGCCTGTATAAAGTCTGCATTTTGGGAATAAGGCGAAATTTGTCGATGTAAGTGCCAGTTGAAAACATTCCTACCTGGCAATATTTAATTGAGCATAAATGTGATGGAAAACCCAACAACAACGTAAAATATGTACGGCTGAAGTACAAGAAGTTGTTGATAGAAAGAAGAAACACTGTGAGATATGTAAAAAAAACTTGCAGCTGATAGCAGTGAAACTAACAGTTCAGAAATAGTTTCAGTGCATTATAGAGTTATAATTTTCTGATCTTTCATTTGCTTTGTAGACTTGCTACTATAGGAGTATACCTTGATTTATATCATAATTTATATAAAAAAGTCCGACTGAAGATTTTATAATTTAAGTCATTACAGCTATGAATAAAACAGCGGTGAAAATGTAAAAAAAATTGCTGCTTGATTAAAAAAAAGAAATTAATTGGTTCCTCAAAATGCAATACTTGGGACTATCTAAGTCTTACACCCTGCCCCTGAAAATAGCTTGTGTTCCTAAAGCTCTGTAGAAGATAAACGTATCTACAGCACAGGATTGAATGATCAAGGAAAACAATCTGAGTATAAGTAGTTCCAAAGCATCAGCAACACCATAAACCAACAAATTCAGACTCGGTAGAAGTAAGCATATAATTTGTTTTGAACCAAAATAATGTAGTCAATAGACACAATGCAAATGCGTACTGCAAGTCAATCAGGCTTAAGCCTTGAAAGTTAATGACATTTCACATTAAATCATATTTTTTTGCAAAAAGATGAAGTGCATTGGTTCCATACAATCCTAGCATTTTAGAAAAATTGCAAAAATGCAAAAAGTTTCTATGGAATGCAAAAAGCAGTTTAAAATTAACATGAGTAGATCTTTTTGTTGGTAAGTGTTAATATATTATAGTCATCAATATTGTGAAAGGACTAATTCAATTTTGAACCTAAAGATTCTTAGAAAAGGTCTTTACTTCTACTTTATAAATAGTAATTTTGTTGTAATTCTAGTGCCACGAGATTCTAAAGCTCTTCTAAATGTTTTTATTGGATAAATACAACAAACAATGATATAATAGCAGTAATTTCCATATTATGGTAGGTAAGTATTTGCTTTTAGCCAAAAATCTGCGCAAATCACAAGTATTTAGAAAAACAGTAGAAATCAAGCAAAGCATCCCACTATCAATATCAGGTATTCTGCCATTGTTGTTATTTATTGAAAAGCATTATTCATAATTTCCACCCTCCACAATTATAAATTAAGCAAAATTGTTGATATGCGGTACCATTAATAAATATTTACTTAAATTTATTTACTTCATTCCATTCATTCCTATTTATGAACAATAACTGAGTGATTCACAATGCAACACAGGTAGTACTGATGATTGCCTACTAGAATATCCACTCCAGAGAAAAAATATATGCCTATGTATTGATTTGTCACGCTGTTAGGCAATGGTAGGCATATTAGCTAAAAATATGAGCTAATACTATACAATTTTGATGACTAACAATGCAATGCAAACATATAAGCTTGGCTCCTCACAATCTATGCAAATTCATACTATAAACTAACAATATACGTAGTCGTGCCATAAGTTCTGTCCCATGATAATCTCATGATAAAAATGAAACAAGATAAGATATATTTATATGAAAGATATTATTTATTCGACAACATTTTTAGAATTCATAATCAAACAGTTTTATTCAAAATGTCCCCCCTTGGCCTTCACACACTGCTTCAATCTCGCGGGCCACTCATCTATCACTGCACGCACAGCTTCCAAAGGAATAGCTGCCGCTGATCGGATCAAATCCACTTTCAGGGACTCGATATTACGGTGGGCTTTGGAGCAGGCCAACTGCTCTAGCAGGTCCCACAACTTGTAGTCTAAAGGATTGAGGTCCGGACTCCCTGAGGGCCAATCTTCCGCAGCAATGAACTCTGGCACATTGCTTTCCAGCCAGCGCTGCGTACTCTTAGCCTTGTGAGCGGGGGCGGAATCCTGCTGGTAGACCCAGTGTTGGTTGGCAAACAATGTACCACTTAAAGGCTTGACGATAGGATCCAGTATGTCGCTCTGATAGTTTGCCGCTTTTGTTTTCACGCCCTGTTTACAGAAATGGAGCTGAGTGACCCCTTCGTAGGACACCCCCCACCAAACCATGACTGACGCAGGGTGGTGGCCTCTCTCAACTCTCGGAATGATCTCCGAAGCTTCCTGTGAACTCCTTGCATACACTTTGTCATTTTGTCGGTTGAATTTTTCTTCTATGGTGAAGATTTTCTCATCCGTGAACAAAATCTTTCGGAATCCCCCAGCTGCGTACCTCTCCAAGAGCTTCTTGGATCTTGTCGCCCTGATGTGTCGCAAGGTGGCCGTAAATCGCTGGCCCGTACGTCTCCGGTAAGCCCCTAGCCCTAGGTCTTGTTTAATGATGCGCGACATCGTCCGGACAGGAATCTTCATTTCCCTGGATAGGATCTTCTGCTTCCGGAGTGGATTCCTTTGAATCCTGGCTTTTACGGCTTTGATGGCTGCTGGAGTCCTTACTTGACGAGGTCTTCCGCTTCTTGGCCTGTCATCAACAGAGGACGTCTCATTGTACCGCTGAATGGTCCTAGACACAAATTTACGCGATATTTGAAGGCCGCGTAAGAGTTCAAAAATCTGACTAGCACTGTGATTACACTTATGTAAAGCTATCACTGCAATACGGTTCTCTGCCTTGCCCCACTCCATCGTTATGCTTCGAGAGATCAATACAAACTGAGGTATATGTAATTACCCGAAAAGCGCTTAATCAACTGACACCACAATGTAAACAATCGGACAAGTATTAACAGGTCTACACTTGTTTGAAAACGAGGGACAGAACTTATGGCATGACTACGTATATGGTGCTTACCTGAAATATTCTAAGTAACCCGTCTTGTGACACAACAGCCAGTTGAGATCCATTAGGACTAAATGCTAATTCATTTATCGCAGCTCCTGTTCCTAAAAGCCACCTGAATAGTGGATTCCTAGTTGACTTTGTTTTACAGGTATTTACAGTAAACCCCTCCCCTGCCTTGAATGGTTGGTAATGTGGTGCTGCCGAACCACAAGGTAGTTCTTCATTGTACACATAAAATTGTCCTGAAGCATGAGCAGCTAGGAATAGGTTCTTACTACCTGGCACCCACCTTAAACATGTTACCCTCGACTTATCTATCAGCCTTTCTTCATTAAACAATTTACTAAGTTCTTTTTTCACTGGGTCTATCAGTTGTATTTGTCCTGTGCTAAATCCAATTAGTAAGTTTACACTCTCCGCACTAGCAGAAGTTATGTTGAAATCATGGCATGTAGGATTTGTTCCTTTATAAACCTTTTTTTCTAATGGCTTACTCAGGTCTGCAGCCTTCTTGATGCCTTTGTACACATACACGTAAAGTTCTCTACCGTGGTTGAAGCAAATCCTCTCTCCTTGGTCTGGCAGAGACACCAGAGACACTCTTACTTGAGGTGGAGTCTGGCCCTGAGGTTGATAGCCAACCCTGTTTGGTCTTGAGTATTCGCTCAATGTCATAAGACGGTAGGTGCCTTCCCTCGTTACAAACTGGGTTTTGACATCACCTGGCTCACCTATAGTCCTGTCCAGGGCTCTCTCGCCGGCTTCCAATAGGGACTGATTGCAGAGAGTGTCTGATCTTGCCATTTTTAGGTGGCAGAAATGGATTTCTCTTAGTCAGGACATAGTAGCTGAATTCCGTGGCGAAATTTCTACTATCTAATTGCACTAGCAAACGTTCGTAATTATCATCTTCTTATGTTTTTAATACAATATAGCGATTGTTATTAGTTCATAAAATTAATGACATTTGGAGTACAATTTGAGGTTACATGTGTCATGGAACAAGAAATGAAAAGGCTATGAAGGGACGGACGGGACAGGAACATTGGTATAGAACGACAAGATAAAGACTAACAACTCCAATGATAAAAAACCGGCTATTCGAGTGCTATTAAGAAAGCCGCCATCCTACAGGTTATACCTACATTTTCTAAAAGCATTATAAAACAGTTTTTCAAAACATATCACACATTTACAATTTAACGGATTCTACAAAATATACAATCTCGTAGACGTAAAATTGCGAGTTTTTACACAGATAACTTTCATTTTTTGCTGGTTGCCAATTTTCCGTTTTGAGAATTTGCAAATTACTGAAGAACAAGGGCAGACAACATATTATGCTGATCACATTTGCCGCATCTGTCTCTAGCTGATATAATTAAATAAAACAATTAATCTGGAGCTTTCTCGAAAGTGTGTATATATTAGGGAATGAAATAAAACGAGCTAGATGTACAAAGAAATCAAATTATCACTGACGAGGTAATGTGTACGACAGACCAGCGCGAGAAGCGAACCAAACGTGTGTTAGAAAGAGTGCGCCGATGGCGACGAGGCAAGCCGCAGCTCCATCCGTGGCCTCGTCACTCGGGATTGCTTGGCAACGTGGTACCTCTATCTCTGTCTAACATAAGTATTGGACGCTTCTCGCGATTCTCTCTCGTACACATTACGACGTCAGTAGCAGGTATATGGATTTCTCTGTATAATAGGTATTTCATTATTTTTTTTATTTGCAAGATCCATGTATACGACTTTCTATGAACAGGTTAATGTCTCTGAGGCTTAAAGCAGTAACTTCATTCATTGTAGGGAGTCCCATAAGTGCTGCAAGAGCCCCGGGAGAGAACGACATTCGCAGAAGTGGTATGTAATTGATTGTTAGGACATAGATTTTGTTTTCTCCGGCTGAATTTGAGCGATAAAGGTTATGTTGAGTATGGGTGGTATGATAGATTCCGACTTATTCGCACAGATCTGCAACTTGAGGTGGGAACGCGTCTCTCAGAACTTCTGAAATATGTATAGGGTGTTAGGGAAATAATATTCGTAACTTTAAGAGACGATTCCTTGGATTATTCTGAGCAAAAAATTTCATTATAAATTATGTCCGAAAATCAATCGTTTTCGAGGAAAGTGAGTCGTATATAATTAAATTTTCTCAAACGTTTGGCAACGCTGCAATGCAACCGCGATACGAGCGCACGACGACCGCAACTGATTCATCGAAATGTTTACGTTTGTATGATATTTTTGTTAAAACGTGCCTTGAATTTTTGAATAGTTTTACGCAATTTTTTGTGGCTAATATTTTTTATTTAATAACGCTTTCATTTACTTTAAAAAAATGACAGAACTTACCGGTACGTGGAGATACACACCACCAATTCCCACGATTATCAGTCACTTATTTGAAACGATGCGATGCACGAAGAAAGAAAAGAAAAACAACATCCGTAAATCACATAAAGTTAAAGTTAAATGTTGCCAGTTGTGTGAGGAATTTTGTTTGTCTGTTTTTCTTCGGAAAATTGTATTTAATAAGCAAGAAAATTATTTTGTTAGACACAGTTAATTAATAAATAGATGTATTGATACATTTTATGCTATTAGACATATGAATTTAAATTATTAAGGTGCAAAATTAATTTATTTCATGACTAAATAGAAATAAATTCAGCATTTTACGTTATAATGAACTTTTTTGCTTAAGGTAATGCAAGGAATTACCCCTTAAAGTTACGAATATTATTTCTCTAACACCCTGTAGATGGGTCAATAAGAATAATGCTAATGTGTGCATTCAGATGCAACATGCCAATGATGAAACGGATTTTTTAGAAAAGTTTTTGTCTACCAACCCCCATGGACATACTATGGGTTTATAGCCTATATTGTTTGTACAACATTTAAACCTATCAGCAATTCGGTTCATTCAAGTTAACTTATTGCTTGAGGGCATTTGAAACGAATGCGCAGTCTAGGTTACGCGAACCACTGCACTATTGGAAGGTCGCACAATGTGTGTGTTAGGAACATGTCGTGAAAACAATTTATGCATATCTACTACTATATAGAATGTTTGCATCAGTTACGTGTGTATCAAGCTAAGGACGAAGATGTGACTGACGACCTGCACACTTCACAGGTAGTTGTTGCGGTGCTACTTATTCCTAGCGGCATATAGTCCAAGACCTTTACCGATTCATTTTGAATCCATGAATCAAGATATCCCCAGGAAGTTCATGTAGAGTGAATTTGCTAAGAGTAAAACCCAAACTATTCGTGCAGTATTACAAAATCTCTCCTAGGAAAGACTTAAACACCCTGGCTCAATATGAATAGAACGGTATAGAACAATGAAGCCTTCGCTCACCTCTTCTACTAGATGGCCCTCATACGAAATTTGTGTTTTTATCACCGACATATAATAACAAATCCTCTCACTGCTCCCTTCCAAAAGTTCCCTGTGGATGCGCCCTTGGTAGTAGTGCAATAGTAGTGTCGGCAAAGTGGAAAGTTGTATCTAAGCCATCTTTGACTCTTTTTGTCTCCATATGCACAAACGCTATACTCCTCATGTATAATTACAGGTTATTTCTAACTTTCCTGATTCCCAATGAGGCCAGAATATTCGGTGTATAATAAACCTCTTAACTATCAATATATGTACATACTCCAAATATCTCATCCCCTAGACTGCAATACGCAATGCAAAAGCTATAAAATGAAACGCTGTATCATCATCCTCCTATCACATGGAGCAGATAGGGCCTCCTTCTATATACACTTAGGAGGCATAGCTGATTGTTCAATCCTCAGTGGTCGCTGAGGACCGCCCACCAAAATTATGGGCAATTCTCTACTTTTCTCCAGTTTTCATGTTCATCGGGCCCCCCTAAGAACCTCTTAGTCTGCCCGCCTCACTTTGCTCAAGTCCCTACAAGCTTATCCTGTCTATGCAGTATTGACATGGCATCTCTTTTTATATCCAACCTAGACATGGGACCGATGCAGAAGGCACTTGGGGCCGTATCGTTAGTCGTTCCTACAATTGTCGGACGCCTTTATGGCCTCCTTGATTTTGATAGTTTTCTACTAATCGTGCTCTCTATTTTGAGGTTATGTCACAAATATCTATTTGCATCAAATTGTTCATGATTTTGATGTGAACCATCTGTTTTATCGGTCTGAAATTTCCTAAAAAAGAAAACATAACTTCCCAACAGGAGAGCGCTGACGCTGACACGGAACGGAAGAAATCTAGAAATACCCCAGCCTTTCTGAAGGAGAGAAAAGACTATGAAAATCAAAGAGGTCATAAAAGCGTCCTACAATTGTTGGCCTCCTTGATTTTCATAGTTTTCTACTATTCCGTGTCAGCGCTTCCCAATAGGAGAGCGCTGACGCTGACACGGAACAGTAGAAATCTATAAATACCTTTCTGAAGGGGAGAAAAGATTATGAAAATCAAAGTAGCCATAAAGGCGTCCTACCATTGCGGGAACGACTGACGATATGGTCCTTAGACTAGCCGGCTGATATACTCACTCCTCATTACCTGGTACTTCGCTGTGTACGGGGACCTGAAGCAGGGTCACTTCCCTTTGTAGAGCAGTAGTGCATTCCTGAACTGGGGCTGGTGTTGTCCTCGGAGATACAACTGCCTTCAAGTCTGCTTGAATAGGTTACACTCAGTGCGCGGCTGAAGCTGTTCTCTAAGTGTTTTACCATTAAGGATGGCAAACACCTCTGTCTAAGACACTGCCGTGTAGGTTCCTAGAGCAAAGATTTTTGCACGCCTTTGCCTTCCAGGTCAAATCCCGCCCTACTAGAACATGTTTCCTTGGAGAAGGATCCGTCGGTACGAGACGGAAATGTGCTTTTCCTTCTCACCCATTCTTTCTTTGTGGGGATTATGACTGAGAATTCTGTATCTTGGCCCTTACACTCTGCAGAGGTTGATCGCCGTCATCTCAGATCTTGGAGTGTTTAGTATGGGTACTATCAACATATTTCCAAAAATCCATGCCGATTTCATCCCTAATACGGTATTAAACGCCCTGGCTTAACATGGTAAGATGGTAAGGAACCGACCTCGATCCATTAAAAGAGTGTACACGTTGGCGTGCGTCGGTATCTCGGGGTAGCCCGAGAGCAGGCAGGGGTTTGGAGTTTGAGGGTTAGGGGCGAGAGGGTGTTTGGTTGCGCGGGAGCCGTTTTGGTGGATGTCGCGCCGGGTGGTGCACTGGCGCATCGCTGGCGCGCCGTGCGCGGATCCATCGATCCCTGCCGACAATGCTGCCAGTGACTAAGGGTCGCTCCAATCGCTTCGGTGACGCACAGGGGCGAACTAAACCAAAATACAACAAAATAAAATAAGACAAATCTTGGCGGAAACTAAAACTAGTTCCATAAATATAAGCTCATAAGCTGATCACATGAATGGCAACACTTTGTGTATCAAATACATCTATTTGACACAACACTTCCAGATCATTTAGTAATAATAATTTTTAACTCAAGACTTGTAGGATACCTTCTAAAAATGGGTAAAAAATGAATATTGCTACTTTCTCCTTATTTCGAAAACTGAAAACACAGGGCAAAGAATTTTTTTAATCAACTTGTTCTATCGAAACAAGACAGTGCAAAGTGCCATCTTGATAGATAGATGGTATGATCACCAACATCGACCACTGCGGAAAGCATATAGCTACTATTGAAGCTGTTATGGCTCCTCTTCACAATTGGCGATTACAAACGATTACCCCCGAGCATGATCGTATAGAGGGCATGCTCGGCTGTACTCGCCGATCATCGTCTATGATCGCCTTCGACCCGTGAATTCTCGGTTTTTCGGTCACGCACCAAAGGGAATCGCCGGTCATATTGATACTTGCCGTTTGACAAACTACTACTGATGCTTGTGCCTATTACGAACGATCAGACGATCAACGATCATCGCCGATAGTGAAGTTTAGGCATTGGGGA